CTGTGCTTAGGCTGACATCCCCCAATGACTACGAAGCCAGATATCACCTGTTTCTTTATGGAGATCCAGAAGCAGCCTCAGAGCGTTTGGCTGATATAGGTATACCACTAATTGGGAAAGCAGAGGTGGCACTATTGGACTGGTTCCCGATTAACAGCTGATTGTATGCAGTTCGGCATTGGATTTCATGTAGTATCAACAAGCGACGCGAACAGTGACGCAACTTGTTTGTGATCTCCCCGTACGCTCCATTTGACTGTACAGGTGGCTCTGTCAAGGAGGACTTCTATCGGAAGCTTCATCAGCTCTTAACCAACGCTAAAAACGTCGGATGTCCCTGTCCTTGCTGGGGATTTTAATGTACCGGTTGGCCGTCATTGTAATCCGAGCGCCACGTTGGTGGTCATCACAAGCTTGATGAGGACAGCTCTGATAACAGTGAGAGAATTGGCGCACTGCGCGAAGACAAGCATCTGTTTCTATCGAGCACCAACTTCAGGCATACGAAGAAGCGATCCGCCACGAGGCGTCTCCCTTCATCCACACAACCATTGTCTCAAATTGACCACCTTACAATCAGCTTCAGACAACGTAGCAGCGTAGGGGACTGCAGGTTATTTTGGTCCAGTTTCACTGACTCGGATCATGCAATGGTCTGCGCGAAAATCTGCATGTGTTTTAGGGCGTCCCCCAAAACGAAGCACCTCAGGATTGATATGAACAGGTTAACTGATTCTTCGGTCCAGGCAAGCTATCAGTCTTCACTGGCATACCCACTCCGTTGCAACCCACCGCAAGACATAGAGCAAAACTAGACTTGTATACTGACAGTGATGACTACTTCTGGACAGTCAAGCTGCTGCTTATCTTGGCGCCCCTTACAGGCTTGGGTCTCCGCTGGCTCTCTGGAACTGTTGGACGGCCACAAAGATATCCCGGCCGAATCACATCGTAACGAGTGGCGCCGCTCTGTTAGCTGGTTGCTCAAGCAAATCCTACGCAAGGATCGTCGAGTATGGTGCTCTCAGCGTGATTTAGATATGGAGACCACTGCTGTTTGATAACATAAATGCTTTTCAAGTCATTCGGTTTACTGGTCTCAAGGAAAACCTTCTGTCAGTGAGGTTAATTGTGAGTCGGATGGGTCACCGATCACCAACCAACAGATCCGTTCGGACCGCTGGGCCCAGCTCTTTCATTCGCAATTCTAAAGACCTCCACCGTCTATCATTGTATGCAGTTCACCTTGTTGTCTCCCATGACTCGTCCCACTGGCTCCATCCAGCGAAGAGGAAGTCTGCCTCGAGATTTGACACCTGAAACGATTCTAGACTGCCGGCTCAGACAGACTTCCTGCGGAGCTGTTCAAGTACGGCGGCGTGGCGATCAGTAACCAGCTAACCTTGTTATTAGCGAAGGCCTGGTAGGAATGAAAAGTGCTTTTCTCCTGGGGCAAGTCAGTTAGTGTACCGAATTTAAAGGAAGACGCTCGCACTTCATGTGTAAATCATTGCGGGATTAGTCTTATTTCAGTTGCCTCTAAGCTATTGGCATTCATATTGCTCCGTAGACTATCCCCAGTAGGTGAGTCGTGCTATCGTGAAGAACAAGCTGCTTTCCGTCCCGGCTGTGAACGCGTGGACCGAATTTTCACGCCCTACCAACTCCTCGAACATCGGCACATTTACCACAGGCCAATTATCGTCACATTCCTAGAAATATGGGCTGCATTTGACTCCGTTGACCGACCTAATTTATGCCGTTGCTTGCTGAAGAACAGGGTGACGGAGAAGTACATCACCATGGCGACGCTCAATAGTGTGTTGCCTCGTCGGACCGATGTGATACGTAAACCCAGCTTCGGTGCATAACAACGTTATTCTACATTAACAGCGTTTAAGTAATGAAGTGTTGGAAGTTTGGTTATGTTGGTTAGGCTCAAGGACATAAAGGACTATGTAGCATAATGTAAATGGATGAATGTAACATTAAAACTAATTTGAACGCTATCAGTGTCAGGGAAGAAACAAGTTAAGTGAGGAGGTCTTACTAAAGTTGGCACGCACGAATTGAATAAAAATTACAACTGGCTATATTGGGTGTCAGCCTTTAGATGGTGTCCTCTCAGAATGATATTGTGCTTTAGGTACAAAATGCGATGATAAGCATGGTTTGGATTTCTCAGGATCAAATATGTTAATATCAAATCGCCATGCAGGCGTCGATATTGTCAACTCTATCTTTCAATTGCTTCAGTCTCAGTTGGTAAGCGATATGAAACAGACTCTTACATTCTTGGTCTCCCTTCGTTTGAGTAATGGCCTAGGGGAGCAGTGGATTACGTGGGGTATTAAAGCTAATGCTTGCTAAGTCCAGTAGGATGATTATGGTGGAAATTACAAGTGCTTTTGCCAAGACTGCTACGCGTGGATGGCGCATTCCAAATGAGGCGTAATGTAGGCGTTGAGCATATGAGAGAAGATGAAAAGGCCAAAAGGCCTGAATGACTTCCGTAAAATGCCAAGACATTGCTTAGTCTTTTTGCATGCTTTACCGGTCTGAGATGAACAGCCAGTAGCCTTTTGTAGTATCACACCTAGGTTGCATTCAGTAGAAGCGCGCTGTAAAGCCTGATCCCAGTTACTATGCTACTAAATATTTAAGTAATTGTTTGCACTCGTCAGTTAGGGATAGCAGAATTCGAACTAGAGTCCAGATGTAAGGATGACAAGCCAATCTTTAAATCATAAACCCTCGAGTAATGGTGAGTAGGGCTTTTGCTGACGGTTTGTGACGCATTTGCGGCTCATTTTGAAGCACTGGTCTTGTGAATGGATTATGACGACAAGGAATTATCTGCATTCCTTGTGACAGCCCATACTAATCTCGTCACTCTTAGTACAATGTGTCCGTTGCACCCAATTAGAATGGATCCAACATGCCACATGTGTTCCTCATCAATAACGTTCTGCCTAAATCCAGGTTCAGATGTCAATTCGTTGCCACGCAGGAGTTTTGTGCACATATATCTACTAGGCGTGGTACTGTCTATTACATTCCAGCCGTAAATAGTGGAACTGGGACTTCGATCCAGTTAGCTAGGTAACCGTTCCTATGTGATGGTTGATTCAGGCTTGCGATTACACTCGTAGAGCTCTTGTGGTTCCTCTTGGCCTGGATCATTTACGATAGCATTGGGCCCATGGGTGCTCGGACAATGAATCTTACGTACAGCGCTGTTGTTTGGACAATGTCCCGGTGTAAATTAATAAAATGGTCCCTGCATTTAAAAGACTTTAGGTACTGGTCATTTGTAATCACCGGACTCACTGAAACATCGCGAGATCCTGATAGATCCGTAGAGTAAATAGTCACATGTCTATCATTTGGCAATTAATAACGACTCAAAAGACGCCAGTTGGAAGAGTCTTGTAAATTTTCGCCGCGTGTACGACGGCTTGGTCGCGGTTTTCGTATGCACGATGACCTCAACTGTTCGGCTGCAGCATTCGTGGTTAGGATAGCCAGTTGCCAGAGCCCCTCTCAGTGTTGTTGTTAGAAGAACTAACAAAGTAGATCAAACAATTATCTGATGTAATTAGCTGAAGTGCCCATTCGGGCTTTTGCCAGCAATTCAAGCATGGATCTCTCATATTAACATTGCCCTATCTGCCGGACATGAAGTATCTGAGAACTGGAAAATTCTGCTGCATCAGGCTTCCGGAATACAGCCTTTAATGTTTCCAACCAATGTTTCCAACTTCTAGTTTATTACCCGATCTTCTCTACATTCCCCGAATTTTATGATTCACACTGAGATACAACCATTTATTTTTATTATCTTTGTAATGGGACATAAATTTACCGCATTTCGCCGCTTGGATCGTAAATGAATATTTGAACTGCAACAGAATAACTTGCTTAACACCAAAAGTAAAATTTCGGTAAAATGAAACTAGCTTTCAAATTAATAAACTGAATTCAGTTTATTTTGGTTACTCTAATCATCTGTCTTTGTATGTCAGCAGTGGGATGACTAAATTGAAACCAGAGACAAGTAACGTTAAGACGGTGTAAGTTCATTAGGCTCACGTGCTTTACGGTTGGAAGCAGACAGGGATGTCAAATTCTTGAAAGATACTTGGAACCGATCGAGTAGTCATGAGTTCAGAGAGGTTTGGAAACAATCGGTTGGTATAGTATTTTTGGTAACGTTTCGCCAATAAAATAATGGCTTCGTCAGACCAGGTGAATCAGTGTGCAATTGGTGTGGGATTTTATAGCGAACAGGGCCGATAACCGCGGTACCCGAGTCTTGAGCCATGAGTCATTACAGGAACAGTTCGGCATGTCACCTCAGGTGGTTTAAACACAGTGGGAATAGTCCAGGTGTTCCTTTGTGCGTCATGACATTGACGGATAGGCCCATAGTGTTGACATTGGGAGCCGGTTTGCACTTTTCAATCTGATCCACGCATCGATGCTCGTCAAGCTGGCCGGCCTAAAACCGCCCGCCATGCATTAGGGAATTCTACCCCCTCAATTCTATTCACGCAGTCATCAGATTTGGCAATTTCCACCGCCTCAGCAATCAGCCGCTGGGATGTTGATCGTATGCCTCTCCTAATGACCTCTACGTTTTCGAGGTCTATCTGGTGACCCGTGTCTAATGCATGCACAGCTACGGCCGAGTCTCTTACTATCGCCTGGTATTCGAACTCGTTTCTTGGTAGTCTTGCAATGCGCCTCCTATGCTCCGAAATTCGTGTGCGTAATTCTCTCGCTGTTTGGCCTATATACACATGTGCACAGTCTTTACATTTAATTTTATAAACACAGTTAGTCGTCCTATCCTTGGGAAGGGGGTCCTTCAGGTGTACCAGCGCCGAACGTAACGTTCGACCTCGGTGAAAGATCACCCTTATATTTTCCTTGTTTAGTACCCTCCGAATTGCCTCGGAAGTGCCTTCCTTGTACGGAATTCCGACCGTCCCTATCCACTCGGCTGTGGGTCTTGACTGCCGGTGTAGCACCTTATGCAATTGACGTTTAACTAGTCGCCGTGGGTAACCGCTTTCTAGTAGTTTGCTCATTGCCACTTTCCGCGCAGCCTTTTTGTCCTCCTCCATCGTGCACAAGGTTTGTGCCCTGTAGAATAGCGTTGAGGCTATCCCAGCGTAAACCTGTTTCGGATGACCCGATGTGTAGTGGAGTACGCCGTCAGTATCCGTTGGCTTGCGATATAGTGTCGTCTTTAAATTTCCCCCATTCCTGTGAACTAGGCAGTCAAGAAATGGTATTGTACCGCTACAAGATTCCAACTCAATAGTAAATTGTATTCTCTCATCAATGGAGTTTAAGTGATCAAGCAATTCGTCCTTCTTATCCTTTTTAACAAGTACAAAGGTGTCATCTACATAACGCCACCAAACTTTTGGTGAGTTAATGGTGCTTGTTAACGCCCTGTTCTCGAAGTCTTCCATATACAGGTTCGCCAGTACAGGGGATATTGGCGATCCCATTGCGAGACCTTGTTCCTGACTGTAAAGCTTCGACTGAAAAACGAAGTAAGACATGTTAAGACACACTGTCATTCCCTCGATTATCTGGTTAACTGTTAGTTTCGTCCGATCATTCAGAGTGACGTCTTCATTTAGACAACGTCTTGCTATTCCTAGCGCCTCTTCTTTGGGTACATTTGTGAAGAGTGATGTGACATCGAAGCTGACCATCAAATCATCTGACTCAATTTTTAGACTTGCTATCTTTTGAGCGAAGTCATAAGAGTTTTTCACGAATGCACTCGTTCGCCCTGTTAGAGGCTGCAATAGTCTTGCAAAGTATCTAGCAAGTTCATGGGTCGGGGAGCCAATACCGTCGACTATGGGCCGTACGGGGACTTCGGGTTTGTGAACTTTTGGCAAGCCATAAACCCTCGGAGGTAAAGTCGATTTTGGATAGAGACTGTACCACTTGCCTGCCCCCAAATCGTCCTTCACGGTTCTTAAATAGTTACCAACCTCCGTTTTACTCTTGTTCATTACCGACGCCACTGTCTTATCAACAACTACTCTATATGGACCCGTCTCCAAGTGTTGTCCCATTTTTTCCAAGTATTCTGACTTATTCATTACAACCAGTGTTTTTCCCTTGTCAGCCTTTGTAAGTACAATGCTGCGATCTTCCTTCAAGGAATTTAATGCGATACGTTCAGTCTGCGGAAGATTTGGCTCACCCGGTTGCTGAAACTTAATGATATTTACTAACTGTGCTCGAATATTCTCTGCCTTCGTAGCGGGCAACTTTGTCACCGCGCTCTCAATGCTTGGGATAATCTCTTCGGCATATATCTTAGGTTTATTGATGGTAAATGTCAAACCTTTCTCCAACAATCTACATTCCGTTTCATTCAAAACCCTATCTGACATATTAACTACATTACAATAGGTACTAATAGACGCGGAACTGTCGGTAGGACCAATAAAATTAGGATGCTCAGACATTAAACGTTCGAACTTACGCAATTGTCTTTTCTTTGCATTCTGCCCTTGTTTCAATTTGACGTCTGAAGCCTTATTGAAAATTCTGTTGTAGTCGAGAGGCGTTATGGCGGTTTGTAGATCCAGGCTCAGCCGGCTCGCGTCAATGCGGATCTCGCTTAAACGTTTTGTCACTAGGTAAATCCGCTGTTTCAGAAAGGCCTTGGAAGCATTAAATGCAATCCTTGCAGAGGTGTACGTGCTGTCCGGAGGTTTCACTGTGAGACATTTTGGGATCAGGTTTGTCTTAAGACATCTCATGTTGAAAACGCGATGATTCTCCCAGTTCGCTTCAAGTCCCGCCAATCGAACGAATTCACTTGACAGTTTTCGAACACGGGGTCCGTAATTGGTTTCAAATTCTTGAAAGATACTTGGAACCGATCGAGTAGTCATGAGTTCAGAGAGGTTTGGGAGAGGCATACGATCAACATCCCAGCGGCTGATTGCTGAGGCGGTGGAAATTGCCAAATCTGATGACTGCGTGAATAGAATTGAGGGGGTAGAATTCCCTAATGCATGGCGGGCGGTTTTAGGCCGGCCAGCTTGACGAGCATCGATGCGTGGATCAGATTGAAAAGTGCAAACCGGCTCCCAATGTCAACACTATGGGCCTATCCGTCAATGTCATGACGCACAAAGGAACACCTGGACTATTCCCACTGTGTTTAAACCACCTGAGGTGACATGCCGAACTGTTCCTGTAATGACTCATGGCTCAAGACTCGGGTACCGCGGTTATCGGCCCTGTTCGCTATAAAATCCCACACCAATTGCACACTGATTCACCTGGTCTGACGAAGCCATTATTTTATTGGCGAAACGTTACCAAAAATACTATACCAACCGATTGTTTCCAAACCTCTCTGAACTCAGACAGGGATGTCTTTTGTTCTCCGAATCTTTGGTGATTGGACGACAGAAACCAAGTGTTTGCATACAAACAGATCCTATGATCAGCCACACCCTACCCTGGCGGGGCCAGTGCACGTTTACCACCAACTGGAATGCAAGCGATTCTGATGAACTTGACCACCTTAACTTTCTGTCTCTCTATGCAGCTTAGTCATTTCACAGCTAGCATGAAAAACTGCTATTAAGAATACGGGAAATAGCTGAAAACAGTTTATTCAAGTTAAATGTCATACCTTCTTGTCCTTTCGAAAGTGATGAAGGAAACTTATTGCGTGACGTGAAATAAACGTCGATTTTTCTCCTTCGGTAATGACATCTAGGCAGTGGCGAGAACAGCGCCGGGTGCATATCTAATTTAGTCATGAACAAGTACTGGAAGAGTGGTGTAGCCATATTAATAATGTGATTGTTGATATTGTCTCGTGGGATATCCAGAAGGAAAACCAAGGAAATGAACAACAATAACAACTTGTAATATGCTTGGAATGAGTCGCAAATTCATGATTTCAAAAGGCTTTGACAACAAACCGGTCACTGTAGGTGGAGAGCAGCCAAAGTTACGGCGCGCTTTTAAGCTTACTCACCGTCCTTCTGTCGAAACCTAGGTATAAATTTACCAACACAGGGGATATTGAAGATTTCATGGGACGAATTGCCCATGAGCATATAATCTGGATTGGAATGCGAACTACGACATGCTAGGACACAGCTTCATTCCAAACATTATTCGAGCTACCTTTAACTTCGCGCGCTCTTCAAGATAGTTGTCTTCAGTTAAACAGCTTCTTGCTAGCTAACGCGTTGACTTTTGACACGTTGGTGAAAAGTGAACTAACATGGACACTGACCATTAGTGCATTTGGCGGGGCCTTCAAATCGGCCGTTGTTGTTGTTTCTCCTTGGAGAACTGGTTCTTAGTCCATCTACTGTGGATACATCCATTTTATTGTGCAAACAGCAGAAATTCTGTTATCTGAACCATTCTAAGATCATCATCGATATCGCACCCTGCTGAATGTATAAAATCCTTTCGAAGCGCCGCTCGAAGCACACCTTATGCCGAATGCGGTAAACAGGCTAGAAACTTCAAGAAAAAAATTTTCAAGTAATCTTTTGATAAAACGAGAAAACTTCGCGCTGGTTGGTAAGTTAACCACAGACGATGTCTTGCAAATACAGCAAAAATCCTGCTGATTTTCTCCAGTAATATGCTTTCACTCCTCTGCAGAATGGCTGATCTTACTGCCACTATGATACCTGAGAAATTTGCAAATACAGTTGTTGTGAGGCTTCAAGGTTGGCCCGTCCTGACGTTGCGGAGGAGGTCATCCAACTCAGTGATTTTCGTCTCACAAGGACAGATAGACCTGAAAACCACATAACCGTGGGGGAAGCTTCGTTACTTACACCAACCATGGTGTACTTGGGTAACCTTTTTGTCTACCTACTCAACATTGAAGGTTAACTGCCATTTAATTGGGTGTAAAACGAAGTTGTTGGGTGGATTGTTACCCGTAGTCATTAGAAAGGTCTGTATACCTTCTGAGCACTTGCTCAGCTGCGAAACGGCAAATGTGCCGGGGCCGACGGGATCCCGCCTGAAGTATTGAAACACGGTGGACCCGCGTTGTTGACTGCGCTGTACCACTTAGTGCAACGCGTGTGGATTGAGGAGGAGGTGCCTCCTGAGCTGAAGGATGCCCTTGTGCTACCACTGTACAAGGGCAAAGGGAGCAAGCAATGTTGCACGAATTATCGTGGCATCAACTTGCTGAGTTGTGTGGGCAACGTGATTGCCCGAATCCTGCTCAACCGCCTCGTGAGTCAGATTGTAGTACCTAACGTGGCGGAAGAGCAATGTGGATTCCGTTCGGGTCGCAGCACTATAGAAATGGTGTTTGTGGCTCGTCAGTTGCAAGAGAAGTGCAGAGAACGACACCAGCCATTGTACTCGCTTCTTGTTGATTTCACCAAGGCATTTGATACGGTGAACCGCGAGACATTGTGGCTGGTGTTGGGTAAGTTTGGTTGCCCGCGTAAGTTTGTAAGTTTAATTGGATGTCTGCACAGTGGTATGCGAGCGAGGGTGCAGCTGAGTGGAGAGACCTCGGATGACTTTGCAGTTGTCTCTGGTGTGAAGCAAGGCTGTGTCTTAGCTCCTGCCCTGTTTAATATATATCTTCATGCAATGTTGTCTTGTGCTTTTGATGCGGCTTGTGCTCACGGTGTTCGTGTGGAGCACCGTATTGATGGTGGGTTGCTGAACATCCGTCGTTTCGGTGCGAGAACTCTAGTCTGTGAGACAACTATCCGTATGTTGCTGTTTGCTGACGACTGTGCGTTGTTTTCACACAGCGCGGATGAGTTGCAGCACATGACTAGTGCTCTGGCTTCGACAGCGGCCAAATTCGGGCTCAGCATCAACACAAGCAAAACTGTCTGTCTCTTTCAGACTTCACCGGAGGTGCAATCTTCAATATTGCCGCAAACCAGCATTGGTGCTGAAGTATTGGAAACCATCTCCCGTTTCAGCTACCTTGGGAGTGTGATATCGACTGATCAGCAGCTACACGTTGAGTTGCGTATTCGCGTGTCGAAGGCGGCAGCGGCATTCGGGAAGCTTGAGTACCGAGTGTGGAACAACCATCAGCTTAGCATTGGCACGAAGCTGATGGTGTACAAATCCATGGTGCTGTCCGTTCTTCTATACGGCAGTGAAACGTGGACGATGTACCGTCGGGATGTGCGATATCTCGAGCAGTTCCATCAGCAGTGTTTGCGACGAATTTTGCGGATCGGTTGGGGCGCCAGAGTCGCAGACACGGAAGTGTTGCGCCGAAGTGGGATGTATGCAGTGGACGGCATACTTTTACTGCGACACCTGAGATGGCTCGGTCATGTGAGCCGTATGGATTCGGCGCGGATACCGAAACA